CACTATCATTGATATCATCAGTAGAAGTATCCAAACTCTTAAAAATCATCTCTTCATACACACCTCCTCTTATAAATAGTCACCTGAACTTCAACATATTCTCGACATTTCTCACCCTTTCTGGTCTTTTTCTCAAACATCTACTTCACCCTTCACTCTTATCGACTTCATAAAAGGAATCATTATCTTCATCTTCATCATGATTTTTTCATGTTTTTGCCTTAATAAAAGACGGCAAAATAAAATTATTATTCAACAAGTTGATCATAGTCGAGTTAATATTGACAATAGTCGAGTTAATAATGACAATAGTCGAGTTAATATTGACAATAGTCGACTTCATATTGACAATAGTCGACCTTATATTGACAATAGTCGACCTTATATTGATCATAGTCGACCATATATCGATAATAGTCGAGTTAATGTTGATAATAGAGTTAACAACAGTTATATTGATAATAGTCGACATCATGTTGATAATAGAATTAATATTGATAATAGTCGACATCATGTTGATAATAGAATTAATATTGATAATAGTCGACCTTATATTGATAATAGTCGACCTTATATTGATAATAGTCGACCTTATATTGATAATAGTCGACATAATATTGATAATAGTCGACATAATATTGATAATAGTCGACATAATATTAATATTGATAATAGTCGACCTTATTTTGACAGAAGACAAACTCAGCATCTTAATGATAATAGTCGACCTTATATTGATAATAGTCAACCTTATTTTGACAGAAGACAAACTAACATTAATTATAATAATAATGGTCAAGGTCCAACAAATCATGGGCGAGAGTTTAAAGCTGATGGATCAAAACACGGTGGTCTTCATGGTCAAGAATTTATGCCAAACTAAGAAATTGTAACATATAAAATAAATTACCAATAAAAAGGAACGTTTATAAGGTTTGGCGTCCCATGGAAATTATCATTTTCTAGAGAGAGAGATTACCAATCAAGGAAGAATTCATTAGAAAAAATCAAGAACATTTTATTGAAATACGTGAAAAATATTTCTGTTTGATTTTTATTAATATAATTTTAATATTTTTGAAAAATATTATCAAAATTTCAAAATAACTTTATTTGAATAATAAAAAATGGAATGTCATAAATATATTATGACAATGTTCGAAGCGAAACTATACTATACACTTCTTCAATTGACAATTAGTGTTACAAGTCATTTATTTGTGCCTGCAAATGGCAAATATCAGATATTTTGTGACACAAACGTTCCAACATTTAAATTTCCCCAAATAACAAAATCAAATGCGTTATTTTTCAAAATATTGGACATTACCTAAATCTAAAATGTTCCAAGCTTACAAATGATTTTACAAATGATACGTGATTTGATTTCTATAACGATTCAAACAAGCAAAATTATAAAGTTCATCTAATGTAACTTTACGATTCCATGTTCGGATTTCCTAACTCGATTACATTCCAAATCAAATAGTTGAGTATCATATTGCAATTTTGTAATAATAGTTTTTGTCGACATGTTTAGGCATTTTTACATAATTCATAGAATGAACCTATTAATTGGTTCAATTTACTTAATAAAATATAAAAATGTCAAAATTATTTTGATAAATTTAATACTCAAATAAAAAAAATAAAAATTTGACAAATAATCATGACTATAATGAATTTAATGGCAATTTTTTTTTCCATTACAGTAATAAATAAATTAACTTATTCACTTTATAAAAAAGGTTTATATATTTATTAATAGTTTATTTTATTATTTTATATTATAAATACTAGTAAAATATTATTCATTAATAATAAAATATTTTACAGTATAAATATTAAATGGAATGTTATACTTATTTATCATTATTAACTATTGTTTAATTGATTGAAAACCTATTAGACGTTTAATTAAAGATATTTAATATAAATAAATAGTTAATCTCAAATACCTTATAACTTAAAATTGTCTAATTTAAAATAACATTCTTAAAAATGGCTATTTATTATTATTAATATTAATTATTTAATATTATCCAGAGCTTTGAACAGATTATGTCAGATCGGGTAATTGACTTGACCTGATCAGATCAGGTCAGACATAAAATTGAAATATACTTTTCACCTGATCTGACCTGACTTGGCCTATATATCATATGATTTCAAGTCAATTATAAAAGTAATATAATGAATATAAAACTAAACATTTATTAATTTTGTTTAAAAATATATAAAAAAACATTGTAAACGGATCTATAAAAGTGATCTATGTATAATTGATCAACAGAATTGATCTACTGGATGATCTACAAATTGATCTACATATGCAACGTTGACATTGTTAACATTGTTAACATTGTTAATATAGTTAATATAGTTTACATAGTTTACATATTTAACTTGTTTAACTTGTTTAATTTATTTAACATATGTAATATATTTAACATAGTTTATTATTTAATATAGTTAATTTGTTATATTATATGTATTTCAAAAGATATAAATACAGTCAGTAGCTTAGAATTTGTAAAAAAAGGTAGAATTCAACAAGCTATGTGAAATTAATAATTCTCCAAATCATTTAACTAGCTATATAAATAAATCTTTGTGAATTTTCCTTTCCTATTTTCTTTTATTTTTGATTTCTTTTATTTCTCATTTCTTTTCTTTTCTATATATTATCAATAAACTTTTTATCTTTTAAACCTTTGTGAGTTTGTGTAAAATATCAACTTTGTAATATATACATGTAAATCTTCAAAAGTTGTATGAATTTTAGTAATAATTACAAATCTTTATACTGTGTAAATTCTTGTAACAAACTATAAATTTTAGTAAAATATAACATTTGTAAATCTTAGTAATACACCAACTATCTTCGTGAATATTCATGAATCTTTGTACAAACTATACCAGTCTTAGTAAAATTTAGTGAAATTATTATGTAAGTAAAAGTATTGCTACTCAAATATCTTGTCTAATTGTAGTAATCAATCAAAATTGCACATTAACAACATTAATAATTTTTTACATATTATTATTTCAGTAAAATTCAAAAAAAAACAAAAAGATTACTAATATAATAATATTTTTTTTAAAATTCCTATTATTTATTAACTGAAAAATTAAAATTACAAGTTATAATAAGTTTGCAAGTCAAATAACTGCTAATAATTTACAAAAAATATACATAACTTTATAATCATTATCTAAATATAATAAAATTTTATAAACACATATTTTTAAACTTACTGAATAACTTACTTATATGGCCAAATTAATTTCCTTTAACCAAAGTATTTAAATATTTTTTTAAAGTAATTAAACAGATAAAAATAATAATTTATTGCTTAATATAATTGCAAAAAAAATATTGATAATTTAAAATTTAACTTTTTAATTATAATAAATTTTAAAGAAATTATACAAACAACTTTTATTAAAATATGAAAAAAAAGTATATTAAATAAAATTAGAGATTTTTTTTTTTTTTTTTAAGATGCGGTGAAGCCTTTATTTATTAAAAATTCAAATTCAAATTACAAAATAAAAAGAAAATCCCAGAAAAGGGTACAAAA